ATATATATATATATAAATACATAGTATTCTTCAAAGATTCAAACTCAAGAACAATAAAATCTTGTAATATCTGTAGCAATAGCAGTTCCCAACAAATCAAAGTTCAACAGCTTGTGTAGGAAGGAACATGACTGATCCTCGATGAAGGAGAATGGCTCAGAGTAGCTGGCTCTCAACTCATATCTGATCACAGTATTATTATTACAGTACAGGTGTGATTGGTACAAATGAATAGTTAATATAACGGGCTAAACGGAAGCCGATTGTTCAGTTGTTTTAAACTAAATGCTGACAACCTAGGAGAATGAGCGTAAGGCTTTCAAGGGGAAGTCAATTCAAAATTTTTCTTTGCAATACTACTGTATGTTTCATGCGCCCCCACTCGTATAAACATTACTGTAAATCATATGGCATTGGTCAAATAAGAGTTAAGCCAATGAATCCACCCATTTTCATCCTTTTCACGGGGGCTGACATTCGGACCCGCTGTCTTCCGGGTTCTGTACATGGCAGTGAAAAGTGTGTGTGCTTACATGATGTAATATGCATGTAAATATCGCAATGAAATATGAAAAAAAAAACAGGTCTGATCAACAATCTGAACACAAATGGAGTTGCCTCACCCTCCCCGTTTCTCTTGCTGTTTCTCACAAAAGATTGTAAACGGAGATTGAAAAAGATTATTGGTTGCACCCAAGAACGCCTGCACCACCTGTTTAGAGTTAAGACCAGCCTGGGAACACGGATCGGGGACCCACCTGACTAAGCCACACACAAACACACACATGTACACAATCTCCCTCGCTCTCTCGGGGTCTTACTATGGGCTCTCATTTGCCAAAGTTCCAACAGAAATTCGCTACCACAACCACTGCTTGACAGAGGATTTTTTTTTTTTCTGAGACTGTCTGCCTTTTAACTCAACATTTAGATGTGGATTTTTGTTGTTGTTACTAAAACTATAATATACAGTGCTGAACTTACCGGTATTTTGTATTTATTTATTCACTAACACATCACGTGTCAAAGAATCAGGTGTATATTGATAGCTTATTTTGCTCTGTTACTATGCAACCAGACAAGACATGCTTCCGACTATGCCATTTTTCCAAAAGGTTTCCCACAAATCCTGAGAGAGTAACACGCGTGTGTCATCTGAGCCACATGACATGATGTAGAAGTAAAAGAAGCTGTAATCGCCCACTTTGGTCACGTGGCCTCCAGCTGTCCTGGCAGCGAGCGCAGACTTTGTTTTAGAGGTGACATCATCACTTGATCTCATGTGCAACGTGAAGAAGAAACTCTACAAACATTCGAGACACTTTGGAATCAAAGCGCAGTCATGGAGTCTATACAAGCAGACTCTCTCTGTACAGACATCCGTACTGTACATACAGCAACTGGAAACAGGCTGGTAGTGTTCCATTAAACAGACCGACAAGGGAGGACCAGTACAGTTTCCAAGGAAGCCAAATAAGCAAGACATCACAGACGACTGACGTTTCAAACTGAGAAATCCATTGTGTCATTGTTGAAGTCACTGTGGAAATGTTAGTAGCCGTGCTAGATCCTGAATCACAGTGGCTAGTGGGGATGCGCCAGCTGTTCGGTAATGAGCTTCTGATCAAATGCCTTTCTGATCTGCACCGTGTTCTGAATGGGGAAGAAACGGAGGAAGCCAACATTTCATCTACAGTACTTGTAGACTCATTTTTTGTCGCGGGCCACTTTTTCAATTACGTCTTCCCTCGGAGGGCCGTTACAACAGTGGAACCACAAAAATGTTTAATCGCATTATCGCATTATTACTTTTATATGTAACAAAATTATTGCAAAATCTCAACGTCATGTATCACACATCACAATTTGACATTTCGGTACATTTTTTAGGAAGGATCATGCCATTTGACACGCATGATTTTCTTTCTGGGGGGTGGGGGGGGCACATAAAATGATGTGGTGGGCCGGATCTGGCCCGCGGGCCTTGAGTTTGACACCTGTGATCGACAGTATATGAAACTAAACTAACTGAGAGTTTCGGATAACCTCTCTGTAAAAGCTACGGAGAAGACACATTTGTCAAATGCAAAGACCAGAAGTATAATGGACGTACTCGATGTCACATAGTTTTAAAAGATATACCGTATTTTCCAGTCTATAAGTCGCTACCTTTTTCACATGCTTTGAACAATGATCCGGCTAATTTATGGATTTTCATGGGCAAACAAGCTTCAATATTTTTGTTCCCCTCACGAGAACGAAGGTGTTTCCCATTTCTCAGAGCGGTTGGCCTCGCATTCGGGAATCGCGACAGCTCCAAGATATCGCCCATTAGCGAGTGAGGTGCGGCCTGACATGAGACCAACACTTTTCACGTGATGTAAAATGTCATACAAAACAGTCCCGGCTATCTACTGACCATCTCTGATGTTTACCAAGTGCGTCTGAGGTCAACCCATGTGGCAAAACTTGCAGTGGAAAATACTTAGCGCCGTCTGGGGAAACCACTTTTATAGAAATCATGAAATTATATAACACGTCTATTTTTATTTACTGTGGTTTTGGGACAAATATACATAACGATTCTTGGCGTAGCGAGAGTTAGGACAGCTAAAACTGTTAGCAAGGTAAGAGGATTCTTTGCACATGAAAAATGCGCACGTGTTTGAACACAAGAAAGCCCAATCTATCAAATTACGATGTGGCTAGTGCATGCATTTTTGAGTGTGGATACCAGCAAATTTGGGGACCCTATAAAACATGATCATAGAGAAAGAAAACTGCTTTTGAAGGTTGATTTACATGTGTGTTATTTAAAAGCAAAACAAAAACAAGATTATTTTTTGTGTAACATCTTTCTGTGTAAAGAACCCATGTTTCAACATGGATACCCCCAGTGTGATCTATTATTCACATAGTCTTTTTCTTATTTTTTAATTTAGTGGGTGCGGCTTACATTCAGGTGTGCACAGTCACAAAATTACATCATACTCTTTCAAGGCAATGAAGAGAGCTAAGAAGAAACTTGTTCCCTCCAAGGCTTTGGAAAGAAGAGCTCTCGGACAAAATGGACACACATAAATCCTGAATCTCAAGACAAACCAAACCAAAGTTCCAGAAAGAGAAAACAGAGCCTTGAATGCCTTGAATGTTCGACAAGATCCCTTGGCAAACACAACTCCTTTTCATGGTGTTTGATGACTATGCACGGTGTCTAATTGTACCAATGCACCAAAAAAGCAAAGCGCCCATCAGGAGAATGTCTTCCCTGTTCATTGACTTGAGAGACAGCTACAAACAGATTCCCTAAACATTTGCCTTCTGCGCAGCAACAAAACAGCGCATAGAAAGCAACATCAACATCGAAGTCTGAGAGAAAGTGAAGGTTGAAAGCAAAGATTTGTTCAGCGTTAGAAGTGGTATTTAAAAACTGCAAGGTGAAAAGTCATGTTGGTAAGTCTTACCTGATGCGTTCTGCTCAGGCATGGTAGTGGTGGTCTCTTTGGTGGATGATTCCTTTGTGACCGTTGCTTCCGGGGCAGTGCTGTTGCTGTTTGCAGTTAAAACCACCGTAGCAGGTGTGAAGAACTCGGCATCTATGTTTTCTGTCGTGTCAATCGATGTGAGGGTGTCGTGGTTTTGTTCTGACACCTGATCGGTGGACTGGTCAAAGACACTTGTCGACCCATCATCGGATGTCACACCTTCAACGAGCATGGGAGTACCGGTACCGGTGTCAAACAGACTTTCTTCTGGGGTCACGACATGCTGTATTAGGACTTTGTTCTGCGTGGTTGTTTCCGGCGGTGATGGGGCGGTGGTGCTGACGTCCACCTCAGTGCCGCCAGGCTTGGTGTTGCACATAAACGTGGTGCTGGCGGGAATGACGGTGGTGGTGGTCTCATCTGTGCTGTGCAAGATGTCCTGTGACGGTCCTGTGACAGCGGGTGGCGGTGCCTCCACCAGTAAATCTGTCCCGAACTCATCGTAGAACGGGAATGGCCGCGTCGAGTCAGTTGGTGTCGTTTTTGACGAACTGATAACGTGTTCACTTTCAACGTCCGTGGCGGCGTCAGTCAGATTAGAATTCAGGATAGTTTCCTCTGTTTCCCCCTCAGCAAACATGGGCTCTGTTCTAGGAGAGGCATCGTGCAGTACCGCATCGGTTTCAATGGTGCTGATCTCAATGACTGAATGATCGTCTGGATCTTCCATTGCTTCGGGCAATGTGTCGCCACGATGGGGAACCGATTCGAGAAATGTTACATTCTCATGTACAAAGTCATCAACATCAAAGTCCGGGTCTACTGGTTTTAGATCGTCAATGTCTTCTTCACGATCTTCCAAAACGGTCGGCGCCACTGTGGTAAATAACTTCTCTTCTTTTCCTGCCGGAGTAGGACGTGGTGGAACCATACTAGTAGAAAACATGGACGGGGAATCTGTGGTAAGTGTGTCCTCTTCAGCCTCTGATCCAGTTTCAGAAGTTTGGGTTTGAGCAACCGAGCTACTCTCAAATAAAGGAACGGTGGAGGAACTGAAGGTGGTGCTTGTGTCGTTGATGATAAATACATCCACAAAAGAAGTTTGGTTGATCATCAGTTTCCTTCCTGCAACATACACACGTTATAAATATTAGACAGGTCTTTTGGCAGAACAGCAGTAGAGGCATTTGCAGGTGTAAGTATACAATGCAGGGGCAGTTTCTGGGAATGAAGATATTATTTTAACAACAAAAAAAACTGAAGTGAAGGGCAGTCTGTTGGTTACGCCGTCTTTAAACGGGTGGATTGATGGCTAATTTATATCAATATTACTGAGTTTCTCTGATATTTTGAAAGAAAAACAGTATTGCTGCAGATGAGCAATGGACCCGACTTGAATACGAACTCTTTAAACATTTCCTCAAGTCCCTAAAACAACAAACGTGGATCCTTAGAAGAACAGAATCTAAACATTGAGACCCAGCCAGGCCCTTCACTGTGTAAACTCTTTCCGCAATTCATGAATGCTTGAAACCTTTTAGCTTTTCTTCACAGTTGCCGAACACAAACACAACTGAAAATTGATGGTGATAGATGACCAGGTGGCTTTGATATGACATTGCATATGCATTAGCGCCATAAAAGTTGATCGGCACTCATTGACTCGGGCACGAAAAGTAGCATCAAATCTTCACAGGGTTTTCCTCAATGACACATGACTTGTTGTACGCACAGCGCTGAACTTACACATCCAGTTTCTGCATCCTCATCAAACGATCTCTGACGTAAGGTATAAGACACGATTTTTCCAAACAGGAAAAAAGAGGCAGCTTTCAAAGGGACTGCATTATCTCACCGAACGGTTTGAGCTGTTGCGATTACTAACGCCTTTGTTTTGTACGGAAACAATCCAAACCGATCGTGATTACACCCTTTTTCCCCCCTGACCCGTCGCCCTGATTCGTGGTGATTTCCCCAATCATATAAGTGTGCTAAGAGAGATCAGGTGTGCTGCAGGAAGCTGACAATTTCATTTAATAGCTGTTATTTATGAAAAAAAGATAAATAAATAATGAATCTTTGTTATCTATATCAGTGATGTAATATGCAAGGCGGGACAATGAAATCATCATGCACTAGATTGCAGAACGTAAAATTACCTGTGTCGCCGACCGTTGCCATTCATACAAAAAAATAAATCCCGCAAGCTTTAGGTGAACGATTTCACAATGAAGGAGAATAATTTTGAGTAAACTGAGATGAGGTCATCATTAATTCTGTAAACATTAATTCACTGCTATATATGACATTTTTTCTTTTACTCATTCAATCCCAATGACCGTTTTTTCAGTTTTTGTTTTTTTGTTTTTTTGTTTTTTAATCCAAGCATTCAATTCCAGGTATGTCTTCATGTAATTTTCATTTTCACATGGTAGAGGAAAGAAGGGTTTAATAATGGCAAGCACTGAATGAGGTAAACATATTTTTGGTGTGTGTTGAAATATGTTAAAATGTGTTTAAATCAGTTCCAACGTCATTACAGTTTGTGGGAGGGGTATTTTAAAGAAGCTTAATCCTGAAGCCAGTTGGGCTATACAGTGAAGGGTTGTTGGGGAGGGTCCGGTTTACGCAATAATTTGTCTGGTGACATATGGCTGCGAGAGGGAAGGCAGGAAATGATGCATTGGGTCCCACCACACAAGGGTACTTGAAAAGCACTCGGATGGGGGCGTAAATACAAATGGCCGAGAGTGAGGCGACGTGGAACACACAGCGGGGAGCAGAGGGTGGGCTGTTTGTGTGCCCTCTGAACTCCGCGACTTATCACCGCGAGAGTTGGGCTTCCTCGGAGCACTAAATGGCAAGGCAGGGGACGGCTTATCTGCCCGAGCTCTCATTTGTAAAGACGGAAAGGCCAGGTCAAGGGTCACCGAGGATGACCGAATTTAGAAGTCCAGCGGTAGCTTGGTCCATTATCCAAATGTCTGCTCTGATAAGTACGAGTGAGAATGATGGAGCGAAAAAGTCTGACAGCGGAAATGAAGGGAGAAAGGGGAAAAAAAAGGGAGTAAGATAGTGAGCCTAAAAGGGGTGACAGGTGAGGGATTCCGCTGCTTCTCCAAACGGAACCTATCATCAGTTGTTTGCTTTGCCCCGAGGATGCTGATTAGTTAAAAACTGCCCCAGTCTGCTAACTTCCAGTGAACCGCAAAGTGTCACTCCTGTTGAGATGTATTGCCCCTCGTCACTTCTCTTCCCCGTGGCACAACAATGACCTTATTTGTACGCATACTTGAATCTTTTCAAAGGGAACAGGGCCCGCACGATTGAAATGAATTAACTCTCATCCGACATGGAAGCTACGTCGAGAGATACTTGAACAGTGTTTGAATAGTACTTGAGTGCATGAATGTGTTTCACATCAATCAGTGGGTTTGTTGGAGGGTATAAGCCCCGAGGAGCACGTAGAAGGAAACATTCGGCCTCTCAAGAAAAATCTTGACCATGAATCCTCCAATTAAAGTAATAGCCGGTCGGACCGATCATTTTTAGGTAAACAGTTTGTCACCACTACCCCTCCCCTTGGCTAATTTTTGCAACAGAAATGGGCTGGAAAAAAAAAAGCTGGAGACAGTGAGGTCAACTGGACTCTGCGTACTGAGAAGCTGGTACATCATCAAAATAATTGCTTCCATTTTATTTGTATTTTTTTAATTATGAAAAGTTTTCATTAAAAGCTAGCCTTATTGAAACTCATATATCAGAAAATGACAACACGTGTAAAACAAATCGAGGAAAACGTGTTGTTTTTGCACCTAAATCGGAATGTATAGGAAAAAAAAGTGCAAGGGTGGGGACCCAATAGAAAATGAGATCATCGTCTGGACTGTTTTACCAAAACGTCTGCGCCTTCAATCCCAGTTTTTAACAAAGCCAAATAGGAACACAAGACGTTGTCAGGGCCAAACCACAAACGGTAACGCCGCGTTCCGTGACGCTCATCGCACACGGTCGACATGACGGGCTCACCTCTAAAGCAGTAAGCCCCGAGCCGGGTTGTCACTTCTGGGAATCCAGTTTGGTTCCGATAGCGGTACAGGGTTCTGACCCCCAGCAGGCCTCCGCCACACTGAAGTTTGGGTACAGAAACTGGATATCGCGCACTGCCATCTGAAAGCCAGCCGTAGTCACACCTGTCGAGACCTCGTCGCCAGGCGGCGTGAAGCTGGCCGGGAGTTGCCAGCTCGCTATTTCTCTTCTTACATTCCTCCTTTGCTTCTTCAAAAGTCATTTTCTGAGACACGGGAGCGTAGAACACGTCACCTGGAACGACGATGAAAAATTGCAACAGTTAGTGAACAATAGCATAAAATAACACGATAGTATGAGTCGAATAGAATGGATGATTATTTTCATTCATTCCATTGCCATGTTTATAAGCCAAATTAACGATTCCTTCTAAAATGAATGGAAATGCCAGTAAGCCGTTTTTTTTCATAAGAAAAATATGAATCTATTGTACTTTTCTAAAAACACAAACAAATGTCAAAGATAGGAAAGTGGCCCCTTTTTTTTTTTTTTTTTTTTTTTTTACATTCTGCTGCTTCTTTTGATGTCTGCACCTTGCCCACTGAGGGGCGGTATTAAAGAAATACAGACATACAAATATGGACTCGCAACTCCTCAGTAAGATGCCGTAATATTCGTTTTTACAGTAATCTACGCAGAGTATAAAGAATTTATGCCTGTGAGCACTGTTTTATCATTTGTCTACATGTGTTGCGCCAGTGTTTCTGTTTACATATCTTCAGTTATAACACCGTGATGCTGTTTGTTCGCCCGTCTATGTTGTCTTACATCGTTTGTTAGCAATAGACCGCGAGAGCTTTCCTCAGGCAAAGCTATGTGGTTGTTTTATATCGACATGGAATTCTCTTTGTTTCATGTTTAGTTTAACAGTAAACTGAGACTGATAACGACACCTCTTTTTTTTGAAAATTTGCTCACGAGTTGCCAAACTGCCACTTGTTACGAAGTGAGTTGAGTTCACTGCCACAATGCAGCGCACCTATCTCACACTATTAATTAAAACAATATTATTTGCATGCGTTATTTTAGTTTTGGGTTACACTCTGTTGTACTGCTATCATTTCACACTATTAGCTTTTTGTAGCTGACCGCTGCTACCATCCTGTCTAAACATCCTGCTGCACACGTAGGATCAGTGTTTACAATTTGGAATTTGAACTGTACTGAGTCTCGTTCAAACTACAGTGCTAAAGAGGACAAACAGGCTGAAAACATGATATCATTTAGTCCAGGGTGCAACATTTCAACCAGTCCCATTTTATAGTACTGGTAGTTCCCTTGATTTACACTGGTAATGTTGTCCATCCTTTTTCTCTTATATTAATGGATCTTAATGTCACAGTTGTACAGCGACCACTACAATAGACCCTAAAGTGTGTTGCCATCCACCGCCATATTTTTTTTCTTGCCTAAAGACTACCGGTAATTTAAAAAAAAAAAAACTTGAGGAAAAAAAAATCCTGATGTAGGTTTTGTGAATGATGAAATGTCGAAATGACTGAATTTTTATTTCTTAGATACAGTCAATATTAAATGTTGCCATGGAATATCTGAGCCGAATAAGAGAAACACCCGCGAGATGAGCAGCTGAAAGGAAACTGGTCAAAGATTTAAACCCTCATGGAAAGGCTGCGTTGAGAGTTCAATCGAGCTTGTCAGCAGTGAGAGCCTGGAACACGAGTGATGAGAAATGCCAGATGCTTTCACCACAACATTATCACTTTTTATGGGCTAAATTACCACTACAAAGAGTGAATGTGATCAGTGTCTGTGAAAACTTTTTTTTTTTTGTCTTACCGTAAAGTTTGTCCACATAACAGTAAACGTCGTACGTTTCTGTCGGTTTCCTGGTTCCATATGACCTCACACCAGGTTTATTCTGTAGGTTGCCATAGCAGCCCTTTCTGGGATTTACGATGGGGTATCTATCGACGCAAGTGATGGAAGATCCGTTTGACATCTCTCAGATATGTGGACAGATACAATGAAATGTCATCATTGCACAGGCGGATTTGAAGGACAACATACCTGACAGTCTGGTCGGCAATCCATCCAGCATCACACTGATCAAAACCGTCCTCGTACGCCGCTTTCAGCTGGTCGTACGTGGCGATGGTCGCGCCGATATCTTCGCAAGCTTGGACAGCCTTCTGGTAGTCCAATGTGTACCTGCTATTGTTGGTGCGGTAGTGAAAGACGACACCTGGATGCAAAAATGAATAAACAAATAAATAAATAATCAATTCGTCGAAATAGACTGCATGACTTGATCCGGAGTTGATCCGTTTCATTTAAATCTCCAGGTGATGGGTTGAGTGTGTCAAGGTGGAACACTGCAACAAAACAAAATGATGTGTGACAAAAATCCTTCCTGGCATCACCTTGACCACAAACAAGCACAAAATTACTTGCAACTGTAAAACAGGTGGTGGCGATACAGTCATCGCAGCCATGTTTTCTACACCCTCAAAAGATGAGTTGTTATCCCTAAGTGAAAACACATTGCTGATGATGACGCGATATCTTTTGGCTTGCTTGGTATGTTCGAACAACATCATCGCAGGTCAAAGCTAATTTGAATGTGATGATAAATGGAACGAAAAGGATCGGCGTTCAAAAAGGGTCGCAATGGAACATCACAGATGGAGCTGTGATTGTGTTTGGATACAGTATACTCACAATATCAATGCCAAGCTAAAGGGAGACGATAGTTGGGAGTTCCCTAGTTCACACAGTGGTTACGGTAGTTGCCAGCAATACTACCCATTAACAAAATGTCCATGCACAAACATTTAGGAGTTACATGACTCTTCTCTTCATGATTCCAGAGCAAACAGAAAACAGAAAAGAATCTTCTTACCATTGACGTTGAGGTCAACAGTATCGCGGGTGTCCTCGATGCCGAACATGACCTCGCAGCGATACGTGCCAGCATCGCTAGCAAGCAGCTTGACCATCGTCAACGAGGCATCCCCCACAACTTCGGGATGACTGGGCACGGAGACCCGGTTCCTGTAACTGGAGCCGATCTTGATGATCCCATTTTGGGCCACTAACACCGTTGACTCAACATCTCCCTCTAATTTGGTCCATTTGATGCGTAAGTCCTCTGTGGAAAAAACGCTGGTGGCATTTGGGTTGACTGGTGACGAGGTTGGAATCGTGGAGAAGAAACACGGAAGGCTAACCTTCCCGGAGAGAGAGCCAGTGACTGGCTTGATGATTGATAATGTGTTGGCGACTGAAAGGGAAAACAAAACAACAAGGGGTTATGTACATTTCTCCTCATACAAGACAAAATAGGGCTCGACTGTCTGTTTGAATATTGTGTAATTCCAGTCCTCAAAATACAGTCCTCATGCTAACGCAGTGGTTCTTAACCTTGGTTCGATCGAACCCCAGGGGTTCGGTGAATCGGTCTCAGGGGTTCGACAGAGCCTCTACCGTAGAGGTTAAGACACAGCGACTCAACACGTCAATTAGTTATGACACGCCTGCTTGGCCATCACTGGCTGCAAATGATAAGATGACATCGGTTGTCCAATCAGTGCCGTGCGAAATTTAGTTCGCTCAGTAGTATGACTGTCGTGATAGTATGTCGTAAAATAAAAAAAATAAAAAAAACGTATGTCTTGATTTTTTTTCTGTTCTTAATAAATGTTAATTTAATGTCTTGAATTTGTAAAAAGTAATATTTTTGTTTTTCACTAATGAAGGGTTCGGTGAATGTGCATATGAACTGGTTGGGTTCGGTACCTCTAACAAGGTTAAGAACCACTGTGTGAACGTATCAATTTTTATCCTCCCGCATTCCCAAAAATATGCGTGGTGGGTTAATGGAACACTCAAAGTTGTCGCTACGTGTGATTGTGCATGTGTGCCCTGCGATTAGCTGGCCACCAGTTCAGTGTGTGCCCCACCTACTGCCCAAAAGATTGCTGGGGTGGGCTCCAGCAACGCCCGTGACCCTCATGAGGAAAAGCAGGTTGGATAATGGATGGACAGATGGATATAGGACTCCACAATGTAAAGAAATAAACAAAGCCTTGTCCTGAACCAGACAGGGTAACTGTTACTCTCCTCCTGCTGACTGTTTCTCAGTCCACTTCCGAGTCGGGACCCAAAGGAGACATCAGACAGACAACCAAACACGTCAACAGGCTGAATCACGCTGACTCATGTGGTCAAGAGGGAATCTGCTTTTTTTCTGTTTTCCCCTAAAAAGCTTGTGAGTGGGGATAAGAAATGGGTGGGGGAGAACTGAAGAGGAATAATTTCGGGAATGCTCTGGAAACAGCGGTGGGACTGCCTTCGAGGCATGAGTGTGCACACTTTAACAGAGGGCCTTATTAGGATAAGAGGTGAAACCAGCTGTTATTTCCAGACTGGGAACTTGCTTAATTGAAAGGTGTCCCTCCAACCTCAAGACAGACAGAGACCAGGGGCCAAGGGGAGCCTTGGGGGTCAACGGGGTCCCCAGGTGCAAAGGTCTTAGGACACAATATCACCTTGAGAAAGCTCTCGCAGGTCGGTTTCAAGCAGGGGGTGTCACAATGATTGTAATGCAGTTCAAGGGCCCCATGTTGCCTAATTTGATGTCAAGTGGGTAGCACCAGAGAAATGATGGCGTCATTACCCTGCGTTTTACTTCCTTAAGGCAGAAAATAAGATTTTTTTTTCTCATATATAGTATTTTTTTTCCTGTATGACTCCATTGCTGCTTTTAAAATGTATGTAAGTAGTAACTTGTCATCTCACTTTTAAAATCAACCACTGTAGTAACCGCTGTCCCCAAAAGGGTTAACGATCCTTGGTTTGAAATCACAAGTCAGGACTTTGCCACACACATTCACTGCCTCACAGCCAGTAGGAAATCATTTCATTCCTAAGACCACCGTCTCAAACTTGTGGCCCGGGGGCCAGATCCGGCCCGCCACGTCATTTTATGTGGCCCGCGAAAGCAAATCATGTGTGTCAACTTGCATGATCCTTGCTAAAATGTGCACTGAAATGTCAAATTGTCATGTGTAATAAATAAGGAATGAGATTTTGGGACAATGTTGTTTTCCTGTTTACACTCACTTGAACAATAATTGAGCAAACTATTATTTGACTGATTTCAAAACTAATAATTTGTTGCGAAAAAATAATGCGACGAGACGATTAAAAATGTGTTTGTGGTTTCAACTGTCATAGAACGGCCGTCCGAGGGAAGACGTAACTCCGACGTGGCCCGAGACAAAAATGAGTTTGACATCAACCTATAACTGCAGGGGTGCTGCTGAACTGTAATTTTTTTTTCAGTATCAAATTCATTATCTTGCAGGCTGCTTTGAACACCTCTGGGAAGACGGTTTTGGCCCGTGGGCCGTAGGTTTGACATTGCTAGTGTAAAAAAAATGCTTTGTCACTTTAATACCGCAAAGCAACATTGGGCATCACGTCACTCAGTAGCCCGCGGTTAAATGTGACCTCGCCACCGTGAATAAGAGACAGACAAAGAGAAGCGTGGAGCTTAGTGGAAGAGTGGGCAGAAAGGGGAGCGCCCCGCGAGAAGCCTTCAGGAAGGCAGTTGGAAACCTACCGCTTGCAGTTGCTGCTTCACAGAGACAATAAAACCACAGGATCTGCTTTATATTTGGTATCATCTGTGGACAAAAGGACATAAATGGGCGGTTAGAAACAGGGGCATTTGTTCTTGTTTTTGTGGGTTTCAACACATGCTAGTCTCATTCCAAATCGTTACATTCAAACGAGCCTTGTCATGACAGAGGACTAAGAGGGGTCATTTCAGTTTTCAATCAGGATTTCAGGATGGTTGCATTATGGCAATGATGTCAAAACCAAGGCCTGGGGGGAGATCTGGCTCACCATGTCACTTCGTGTGGCCAGAATAGAGTGTTGAATTTATGCCATTTGTTTAATGGTTTTATTCTTTTCGTTTTGACAGGAAATTTGTATTGAACACATTTTCTTCCCCAAATCCAACCCTCGTTGCCCATTTTTTCCCTACTTTTCTTCTCACCATGAATGAACTTGCTATTATTATCGCAACCAATGTCGGTGAAATTGTGATGTGATTTTCCTTTGATAGGAATTGGGCTATTGTTGTGGCCCTCTGAGGGAGACCATAACGACTATTTGGCCTGTGACGAAAATGAGTTTGACACTGCTGCACCAAGGCTTCCTGTGGAATCAGACTGCACATAAGGACTGACACTCCCCCACACACACACACACACACACAAATCCACTCTTTAAACAGAAGTAGTGCATGGTTGAAGCAGTAAATTGTAGTGATGGGACGAAGATACCTCAAGGAGTGTATTGACCCACTTCACAAACTGTGTCAGCACTGTATTGACACTGTGTTGGTCACCCAATAGTGACCCCTGCAGTAGTTATAAAATCATTGCAGGTAAAGAAATTCCTTGTTTGTGTAAATGCTAAACTGAGTTGGTGTGTAAAATATAGAAAATTTGAGTTACAATTCAGATTTTAAACTTATGTAGAAATTTTTTGTTAAATCATGTGAAATAAAAGACAAAAAAGTGATTAGTTTATGAATTTTTATTGAGGAACAAAAGTTTTTGGAGTGTCTTTGCTCCAAGGCGATTTGTCCTCTTAGACACCAGCTCCCCAGCCTCAGAAAGTACTCTTTCACATGGTTCAGATGACGATAGTGAGCAGAGAGTTTTAAATGAAAGTTGATGCAGATGTGAATATGTTTTCTGGTTCCATTTCCAATATTGTAAAGGGTCTTGGTTTCTGGGTGTGTTTGCTTCTGACAGGTGGTGTTGGACTTCAATTATGGAGTACTCGCAATTATAAGATAAAATGAATAAAGCAACTGTAAGGCTCTTTAACTGACTATCATATATATAAACAGGTCCTTCACTTGATAAACTGATAAAGTGGGTGCAACGCCCGCCGTAAAAAAATGTATATAACAGTAAACAATGCTCAAAGGAGAAAAAGATTTACCAAGATCAAAATTATTCCACACTGGGGAAAACTTCATAATTTCGCAAAACTCCAGCCAACAAACCCACGACATGTTGATACAGTTTGTGTCCTTATAAACAGGCTTTGGCGCAGCGCATTCAAACGATCCAGTTCCTGTATTGGTCACGTGATTCTTTCTTAAAGCAATACACGCACCGATGCGAGGTTTCACTCTTGAGCTCTCGGCACTGTGCTGACGCACCAGTGTCGCTCGTCCCATCACTCGTAAATTGTTGTTCTCAGATATCAATAAAATGGAAAATGAAAAAAATAAAGATTTTACATATTATGAGGCACAATTAAGAACAAAATATGTGAAATGATGGTGAGTCATGTTATTTGAACAAAACTCTTACCAAAACAAGTAATACGAACAATTAAAATTAATGTTAGGTTAAATCATAGGAATGCAAAAATGTACTTGGGTGAGCTAAATAATCGCAAATTACCAATGTCACCTAACTCATAATGCTGCATCCAGTAAGGAATAGAGTTAAAAAAAAAAAAAAGTTTGCTCCCATTTTCTGGCACTTTTTGGTGGACACACCTGCTTTTTTTCCCGCTAGTAGTAAAATCAGATTTTAGTGGCACATAAATCAGATTGGTGCTCTCAGTGGAATAAATAATTTGTTAGTCAAGCATGACAAAACATTTATCAACAAGCTATTCTCACTAACAAGATGCGTACGCACTACAGTACATGCGCGAAATCGTTCAAAGGTTATATGAGGACATCACAGCATCTTTGAGTGGTGCCCTAGGAGCAATTGACAGACTTAATTGATCCATGAGAAACACTTCGGTTCGTTTTCGTGAACAACGAAAGAGAAAATATCCTTTTCTGTTCCACGTTATTTAAAATAACTTGAAATGATGTCCCGATAATCGTTTTAACTGTACAGCAATTTGAGTTGTGTTTTTATGTGCGTAAAGTGCTGCATAAATAAAGTTTGATTGATAGTGACGCATCACCCAAACTTACGGTGAAGATGTTATTATTCCATCAAATGCCCAAGTATCTCTTGAAATCCAGTAAATCCCAGTGCGCGATTTGCGTGCGTAAAAGCGTCCCTAAAAGAGCGCACTGCAACTCTTCTCTCTCCCTTGATGCTACAGAGCCGCGTGGACCCACTCCGGGATTCGTCACCGTTGTGGACGGAGAGGCAGAAAGGCTTGGACTGCCGCCGCTCGGCAAATTGACTGGAGCTGAACGCACGCTGTTATTTCTTTGGTGTTGGGGAGGAGGGGCAGAAGAGTGCCCATCGAAGACTGAATGGGACGCCTTGGGAGGGCTGGGAGGGAGGGGAACACTTCATTTCGGCTCTGCGCCTCTTGAGGGGCGTCGTTGTCCAATCAGACTTGACTTTTCAAGGTAACATCTGTCAATTGAGTGAGCCCCGGCTCTTTATCACCCGGGGAAGCCACTTTAATGGGTGTCAATTGAAACAAGTGGGTCGTTTCAAAATTGAAGGACGTTTTCCGTCACTCCCCATCCTGTCTCCATGAAATTTGCACAAAATGCAGAAGAGACTCCTTTCTGTTTAAATGATAGCCTGTAAATAATAACTGCAGCTGTCGTAAAAGTGGTTGCAAATAGTAAATGAGCACCACCAAAAAAGGCTTTTTTTCCCCTTGTTCCCTCAAATATAACACATAAAATAAGTTTTCAATGTTTTATGTATAATGTTGTTGATTTCTTTCTTGCAATCACGAAAAGATTTTCTTTGCTTTGTTGGTTGTTAGTCTTGCGCTGAAGCTGCGCTTGCAACATACACACAACCCTTTTGTGAAACCCTTTTAAGGCATCAAGAACCAGGATGATCGTAAAAAAAAAAAAAAAAAAATCTTTGTTGCTAAAAGGGTTAATATCATTATTGTTCAGACTATAATGTTCTTGATTAACCAGTTAGCACAGCAGCTAACACAGCTAGCATGTACACACAAGAAAATCCGAATGAGAGCTGATTTGCAACCGTGTCACTGAAATTAGAGTAATACAAACAACCACTTATGTATTGCTCTTTTTAAAATGTATTTTCATGTGTTTGAATATCTGAAACAGCGCAAAACATATGACAAATAAAATCTCTCATAAAAAGTGTACTATTGACGGGCAAGCTGTGCACGCACCATTTGCTCATGGGTGCGCACTGGAAACGGGGTGGTACAGTCATGTCTCTGCTTCCAATTGAGTCACAACTCGATGTCGTTGCCAGCAACACAATTCTGTCAGGGGAGGGACAGGGGAGGGACGTCTTCTCTGACTCTCAGATACTTCTGGTTCGAGCAGTATAAGTGTATGTGTGTGTGTGTGTGTGTGTGTGTGTGTGTGTGTGT